CCCGCCCCAACTCACACACACATCGGGCTTAAGTGCCACTGCGGTGTGGGTGTGGCCAGTGTTCACACTGGAAGCTCCACCCTTCTTCTGCGACTCCCTCCTCTCCTTCCCACTCTGCACTACTCTGGATCACCCCCCCCTCCCCCAGTCCACCCACCACACCCCCCCTCACTCCTCTGCTCCCGACTTGGTGCCTGGCCTGAAAGAGCACAGGCCTCTTCATGTGCTGGCCGCCCGCTGCCGGTGTCCCCCGCACGTGAGCAACCCTCCCTCCTCTCTTCACCATGCCGTCCGACAGCTGTACGCCCTTTCTCCTCTCCCCCCCCCCCCCCCCCTGTCTCCCGCTTGCCAGCCGATTCCCCTCTGCCATGCCCCGGCCCCTCCCCCTCTGCCCCTGCCTATCTGCCCTCACCCTCACCTCCCACATGCAGCCGACCCCATCTGCCCGGGGTGCGAGCTCGCCATCAGCAATGAGCGGGCCCTGCGCGTGGGCAAGCACCTGTACCACTTGGCATGCGTTGTGTGCTCCATTTGCCACTTGGACATCTCCACCACCGGCATCTACCTCGACAGTCCGGATCCCATGGCTTCGATGTCCGATGACGAGCCGGCCCTCCTGTGTCGGGACCACTTTTTCGAGCACCACGGCACACGGTGCTCCGCCTGCGGGGCCCTTGTGACCACCGGGTCGATTGTGACGGTGGACATCACCAAGCTGGCTCGAGCGACCCCGGGGTCGCCGGACTCCGTGGCCGAGAATGCCCACAGCTCCGACGTCGGCGCCGATGATTCCAGCGCCGGGAAGCCGGCTAACTTCCATGCCGACTGCTTCCGGTGCTACCGCTGCCGGAAGCTCTTCGACTCCGGTGAGCGGGTCATGGTCGCTCGCGGGTATGTTTCCTCTCCTCTTCCCCGTCTGCTCCTTTCCTTCTGCCCTTTCCCCCCCCCCCCCTTCCCTCGCTGTCGGGAACCGCATCTTTGTCGTTCCACTAATCCCCGGAGCCCGTGGTCTGCTTTTGCTGTTTGCTGCATCCCATTGTCACCATTTCCCTCGTACGGTGCTCGCTCGATCTTCCACAGCCAGCCCACCTGTGTTGCCTGTACTTCCTCCTCTTGTGCTGCTTGCATGGCCCCCATCTCGCTGGATGACCCGGATGTGCTGAGTCTGCACGACCGCCGTCATGGCCTGCTTCCCTTCCACCGAGGCTGCCTGGCCTGCAGTGTTTGCCGGCAGCCCTGCACCCGAGACGGGCGTGTCATCTACTACAAGCGCCGGGTGTGGTGTCTTCGTGACCTGCGAGCCTCCTTCGGCTATGACAGTGCGTATACCGCAGCCATCTTGGCATCTGCCGCGATTTGACCATCTCCCCATCCCATGCCCCGCGCCTTGCTGCACCTGCTGTTTCCCTCTCCCCCCTCCCCGTCTCCCCTCCCCATCTCCCTTTCCCTTTGGCGGCACCATTGACATCGCTCCCTCACCTGCGCGCCGGCAACACACAGTCTATGACAACCTGGAGTACCTCGATGGTGGCCCGGACCTGGATGAGCCTATGCCCCCGACTCCGAAGCACAAACTTCCCACTGACCGGCCCTTGCCCTCGGTTCTGGAGGGTGCCTCGGAGAACGTGCTGAATGCCGTGGCCGCGCTTCTCTCGGCCGGGGAAACTCTTTGTACGCGTGGATCTCTGCTCGCACATGCTCATGCTCGGTGCATTCGCCCTTTTATCGTCCTCTTGCCCTGACACTCGGCATCGCACGAAGCCCCAACCGAGGTCGCGGCCACGGTGGCCGCGGCTGCAGAGGATGGCATGCCATCGCTGGCCATCGCCGGCGATGTGGTTCCCGACCAGGATGCCCCCTGGCTCCTGCATGAGGTCCCCCTTAGCCGGGCCGAGGCGGTCCTGCTGCTGAAGCATTGGGGCCAGAATTCGGCCACCTCTCCCTCCTCGACGACGGCGCCGGCGGCTGCCGACACGGCCGACACCCCGCGGGTGTTCTTCGTCTTCCGGGATCGCGACGACGACTCGCACGGGTACCAGCTCATCTGCCGGACCTTCACCAAGCAAGTTCCTGCGGGCTATTGGATTGCGCCCATCACCACGAGCAACGACGAATCCTCACCCACGGGGCGTCTGTACGGCCTGCAGTCGGGCGACCCGGCCGCCACGGCCTCCGTCTCTGGCAAGTTCCCCACCATTCGCGGGCTGGTGGAGGCCTACCAGCAAGGGGGCGATTCGCTGCCCTCCCCGCCTCCGCCCGATGGCCAGCCTCTGCCCGCGGATTTCATCAACTTCGAGAAGGTCCGTCACTTGCTGGCCTGCGTGCCTGCTTTCCTTTGCTCCATACCACCATGTGCGTGACTTGCACAACTTGCACGACCCATTGCTAACTCCTCCTCTCCTCCCTTCACGCATACACACATACACACACGTACTGTGCCCTCCTCTGACGCCACAGGTTAAGGAGCAGCCGGAGTCCATCCCCAGCGACTTGACGTACGCCGGTGCCGAGGAGTACCTCGATGGGCGCCGTCGCCTGTTGGTCTTCGAGCAAATTGCCCAGTCCACACGCTGGCATCTGAATCAGCTTGGTGAATTGGCCGCCCGCGAGTCCGGTCCCACTTCCCCGGCCGGAGGCGCGGTGGTGCGTCTTTCCTGTTTCCTCCCCCCGCGGCTTTCCGGTCCGCTTGCCCTCTCGTATGGTTATCTGACCCTCTTCCAACAAGCAGCCCACCTCCCCAGCTGCCGCCTCGGCTGGGGCCTCTGCTCCGGCTGCCGGGAATGCCCAGGATGAGGATTTGGCCGCGGTCAAGCGTACGCTGGCCCGTGCCGAAGCCGAGGGCGACCTGGCCCGCGTGGTGGTTGCCGCCTCGGAGCTCGGTGTCTCTGGTGGTGCGTGCCTTCAAGGCGGATAAGTGGCCTGGCCCTCGGCCCTCGGCCCTCGGCCCTGACAACTTGCTTTGCCCCCTCGCCCTGCTGTCTCCCTCGGGCGCGTGTTCTAATGGTGTCGCTCCTGCCCCTGCACATGTGACTGATGCGCGCATCATATGTAGCTGTCAGCTCGCGGACCAAGTTCCATGTGCCGGAAATCTTCGACGTCGCACTCAAGATCCTTGACAGCGAGACGTCGGCAACCCCGGCAGGGGAGGAGGACTTCGACGACGCGGCGTCGGCCATCTCCTCCATCTCGACCGTCTCGTCGATGCAAGACTCCGTGTCCATCTTCGATGCCACCGGCGACGAGACCCTCGTGTCGGAAACCCTGCGCCTGGGCCCGGCCACAGTGGCCGCCCTGCGAACCTACTGGGATGCGGAGACCGTGCGTGGCCGCGAGCCCCCGCGCGATGGTGATGAACTCTGCATGCTGGTGGCACGCCTATTGCCGGCGGTGGCCGGGCCGGATGCGGCTTCCGTGCAGGCGGCCCTCTACCGGCGGCGGGATCTGCGTAGCCTGGTGACTGCTGCTCCGGCGGCGGTGGCTGCCAACACGGTCACCATGGACTTTGAGGCGTTCTTGCGCGTGGTGGAGGCTCTCTACTGTCCGGCGCTTGGGCCCATTTACGCGCTCTTCTTGAGGTATGCTCGGGCCTGTCCGCAGAGCGAGTCCATGACCATTGTGGAGCTGCGGAATTTCCTGGCCCGCGAGCAGCAGGCCGTTGGCCTGACGGCCCTTGGCGGCGGGTCGCCTGCCATCTTCCAGGCGCCCTCGGGACCGAGCACCACTCAGGCCGCCGCGTCCGCCTCCGCCAATACCGAGCAGGCACTCAGTCGGTCGCTTGGTCTGGACACGAAGCTGCCCCTGCCGGCGGACATCGACGCCGTGCTTCTCTGGCTGTATGAGGTTAATGAGGTCAATGCCCGGCGCGCGGCGCGGGTTCACAGCGGTGAGCCGCTGTCGCGGTCCCTGTCGGTGGCCAAGCCACGGGGTGGTGCCAATGCTGCTGGCGGTGCTCCGGCCGAAAGCCGGGGCTCTTCCCTGCGCTGGCCCGGTCGGTCGAAGAAGAACCAGCCGGCCGATGGGTCTTTCGACCCGGTTCGTATTGGCAGTGACCAGGACGATATGCTGCAGGATGGCGAGCGCACCTGGACTCCGGCCGAGCGCGTATTCGGCCGATTCTGTGCCACCACGGCCGACGGCCTATTGACCATCTTCGGGTATGTTACCTTGCCATTGGCAAGTGGGGGGGGGGGAGGGGGGAGGGGGGGCTCCTAGTCTCTCTTCTCCTTTCCCTCGCCCCCCTCTTTCTCTGTCCCCATCTGTCAGCATGCATGCTAACCGGAGTGGCGTGCACTTCCCGCCTTTCCCTCCCTTTCTCCCTACCTCCTCTTCCTCCTGCCATGCTCGCGTAGCTTCGCCAACCTTCTGCTTGGTCGTCAGAGCACCATCATGAACCCGGTTCACGCGACCACCGTTTACCAGGACATGACCCGGCCCCTGTCACACTACTTTATCGATTCCTCGCACAATACCTACCTGGAGGGCGATCAGCTGAAGGTATGCTGTGATTTGCGCATGCACCTATATGTCTCCTCGCCCTGCGTCGCTCTTGCCATAGCCGCATGCACACGTGCGCGTACTTACACATACTCCTGTCGCTGTCCCCGCTGCTGCTGCTGCTGCCACTGCTGCTGCTACTGCCCCGGCCATCAGTCCAACAGTACCACTGAGGCTTACCGCAAGTCGCTTATCTCCGGCTGTCGCTGTATCGAGCTGGATCTGTGGGAAGGCCCGCGCGGTGAGCCGCTCATCTACCATGGCTACACCCTGACGTCACGCATTCGTGCACGTCTGGTCCTGGAGGAGATCGCCCGGTCGGCTTTCGTAACCACGGACTATCCCCTGATCTTGAGTCTGGAGAACCATCTGGGCCACTCGCAGCAGCGCACCTTCGTCAAGTATTGCCGCGAGGTGTTCGGCGATTCGATGGTGGACTTCACGAGTGCGTTGGGCGCGGTGGAGAGAAGTGAATCCTCTCCCCTGCTCCTTTTTTTTCCTTCGACCTTCCCTCGTCAATCCGTCACGCACGCCTCGCCACACCTCCCCCTCCTCCTCCCCCCCTCTTCCTCCTCCGCCAAGACTGACAAAATGCGTCGCGTGCCTGATAGCTGGCTTCTGGGAGAAGAACCCCGCGGAGCTCCCCTCGCCGGAAGAGCTGCGTGGGAAGATCATCATCAAGAACAAGGCACACGAGTCGCGCGGGCAGCCGACGCAGCCCACTGACAAGGCCTCCCGGGAGATTAGCGACATCGTGGTCTACACCAAGGCCTCTCACTTCCCTTCACTGACGCAGGCGCGCGATGGCAGCCGCTGCTATGAGATGGTGTCCATCCCGGAAAAGAAGGCCTTCAAGATGGCGCGCTTCTCCTTCCCCCTGCTGTTCAGCTTCGCGCAGCATCGCTTCGCGCGCATCTATCCCGATGGCATGCGCTTCGATTCGAGCAACTTCGACCCGTCGCTCATGTGGGCCACCGGCGTGCCGATGGTGGCTCTGAATGCCCAGCGGCCGGACCGGGCGAACCACCTGAACCGGGGCAAGTTCGCCGACAATGGCGGCTGCGGGTATGTCCTCAAGCCTCTGGCGTACCGGCCGGAGGTTCCCCTAACTGGGCCTCTGGCGCCGGAGACGCTGGATGCTCTGCTGGAGCGCCCGGTCGGCGTGACCGTTGTCCGCATCCGCCTCCTGGCCGCGTACGGGTTTGCGCGGCATGCGCGCGCCGCGCGTCGGTCCAGATCCCGCAGCAGCCGCTGGGCCCCGGCCGTGCAGCTGGAAATGGCCGGCCTCAACACATCCAGCCACTTGAGTAGCCCGGGCAGCTCGATCGGGCTGCTGGGCTCGTACATGGTGCGCCGGTGCTGATGCGCGCCTCCCCCCACTGGCCCTTATTTACATCCGCCATCTCGCTCCTCTTGCCACTTCTAACGTACAATGTCCATCTGGTTCCTCCTCCTCCTCCCCTTTGGTCCCCCCCCCCCCCCCCATGGACGCGCAATCGTCCTCCTCCCACCCATCCACTCGCTCCCCGCCGGCTACAGTGGGCTGACCAGTCTTTCGAGACGCTGGCCGTCGCGCCGGAGAACAGTCTCCTCCGGTTCACGGTCCATGGGACATCCGCGTCCAGCAGTACCAGCACCGGCAGCAGCAACAACAGCGACAATGCCACGGCCACGGCCCCGGCCCCGTCCGATACACTTGGTGAATTTACCATCTGTGTGGCCAATCTGCTGCCTGGCACTCGCACGGTCCGCCTGCGCCCGACGAATTTGCCCTTCGGCGGTGTGTCTTTGTCGGACCCCTCCCGGCGCCCGGCCCCGGGCCATGCGCCGCGTCTCGTCCTCAACATCAGCCTCGAGCCGCTGGCCGATCGGCCGATGTCCACCTTCCTGCGGGGTGTGACGTGTGTGGCCCCGGTGGCTGAGGCCCCGGCGGCCATTGTCGCCGAGCCGGACGACGAGCCGGCCGAGATGCCGGAGCCGGCTCCCATGCCCGGGCCTGCTCCTGCCCGGCAGCTGGCCCCTTCGGCCGCCCCGTTCGACATCTCCAAGCTCATGGAGGCGGCCCTGGCCCCACTGGCCGAGGTGGAAGCCTCCTCCAGTTCCCCCATCGCCGGGAGTCTTTCTCGCCGGGCCACCATGCGAGTGGCTAGCAATGGCGACAGCCTGACCCTGCCGTCAAGCCCGCCGCCGATGGCTCGGTCACCGCTCAGCGTGGACCTGCCGGTCCTGAACGCCGGTGACCAGCTCCCGCCGGTGCCGGCGGTGGCCGCCCCGGTCCCCGCTGCTGCGACGGCCCCGGCGGCCGACCAGACGGCCTTCGCCGCGTCGGGCAGCTTCCGGCTGGTGATCGACGCCGATGAGACGACGGCTCCGCCGGCCGTCGCCGCCGCCGCCGCCCCTGCACCCTCCTCCCCCTTCGTGGCTAGCCCCACCATCCGCATTGAGCTGCCCGATCCCCCGGCTGAGGAGCCTGCGCCTGTCCCGGCCCCAACCACGGAGCAGGCGCCTGCCGCGACCGCGACACCGGGCCAGTCCTCGGCGACCTTGACCACCGCTCCGGCGCCTGCTGCCGCTGCCCCGGCCACCGAGTTGCTGACCCTGCCGGGCGCTTCGCAGGATGCGCCATCCTCGCCGAGTGTCGACCGTGCCCCGTCACCCACCCCGAGCACGGCCTCCACCTCCTCCAGCAGGCGATCCATCAGCGGGATGTTCCGCTCACTTTCCAGGCGCTCTGAGAAGAAGTGATCGAGTGTGTGTGTGTGTGTGTGCCCTCGCACAGGCCGTGCACCAGTGCGAGGGATTGCACGCGCCCAGAGGCGGCTCCCTTCCTTTTTGTGTTCCCACCATATGCAGGCACGCGGTGGAACTTTCCCCTTCCAAATAAAAGTACAATAGACCCCGCATCCATAGCACAAGTGCCGGACCGAGAGAGAGACCGGCCTGCAGGAACACACTGCGACAGGCATCCACTCTGCCGAAAGAAGGGCGGCAGGGGGGGGGGTGCAGGCGGTGTCCCATTCGACATGCCAGGCGAATTTCGCCCAACCCCCCCCCCCCGGGCAGGAGGTGGGATGCCCCACGATGGACGCAGCAAGGAGGAGCGCGGAAGAGAGGATGCTGTATTTCATCATCGGGGGAAGAGAGGGGGACACACACCAGGCGCGCATCCAGGAACACCGACTGCGACGCGCATGCGCAGACACACACGCACACACACAGGAGGGGTGGTACACAGCAGCGGCAGATCAGGCGGAATATGGTACAAAGGGCGAGGAACAAGGACAGGAAGGGGGAAGGCTGGGGCCTCACAAGGCAGGAAGGGGGGGCTGGGGAGGAGAGGGCACACAGGGCCACCAGGCGGGACACGCGCGCAAGTGCAGGCACCGGATCTCGCCGGGCAGCGGCGGCTAATGCGCGTGCATACGCGCGGAACTCGCGAGACGACGCCCACCGCCCCTCCCCCCGTGTGCTCAGACCGCGCGTTCTCCAGATCGAGCATGGCCGATGGGCGGCACGATCTCGGCCTCGCGAGGTGCAGTGTGTGCATTCTGGAAGAGTGACATGCTCAACACCAGCACCCGCGATCCGAAGGCCACATCGGCCACATGCTCCGAAACAAGAACAGCGAGGCAGACACCTCCACAGAAGGAGGGAAGGGGAGAGACACACAGGTGCGGCGGAGCGCGTGCGGGGGGGGGGTAGTGTCGAGTGCCATCAGTATATATTTTGTGGGGACGCATGCGCACACACACCATATCCGGGAGGGGGAACACGGACGGGGGGCGCGCGCACGGACGCGCTCATGTATATGGGATGTCTCTGACGACGGATGGTGCCACACATGCGGCGCGTGTCGTCGGGCGAGCGCGATGAGAAGTGGCGGGGGAGGGCAGCACACACATGCGAGCACGGTGCTTTCATCCGGCGCTCACGCAGCACGGCGCATGCGCGCGCACGCGGGCGGGCGGGCACACAACAGACCGGGGCTGCTTAGTAGAAGAAGCCGAGGATCTTGCCACCAACGTTCTTGCGGCGGGCCTCCTCGTGGTCCATGATACCAGCGGAAGAGGTGATGACGAAGAAACCGAACTGGCGGGCGGGCAGCAGGTAGGAGACCCAGCGCTCGATCTCGTTGAGCTTGATGTCGTAGCGGGGGGAGATGGCACCGCACTTGTTGATGCGGCCGAGGAGGTTGATGACGATCTTGCCGGCGCGGCGGTCATCGACAACCTCGAAGTCGCCAATGTAGTTGTGCTTCTGCATGACGGTCAGGAACTTGACCACGACCTTGGAGGAGGGGCGGACGAGGACCTGGCGCTTGCCGCGCTTCTCGGCGTTGTTGATGGACTTGAGGGTATCGGCGAGGACGGAGATGCGGACCATTGTGACGGATTACGACTGCAAAAGGGGGAACAGGGAGGAACACGAGCAAGAGAAGAAGGGGTGTCAGTGGCTCCTGTGTGTGTGGAAGGGGAAAAGCACGCCAAGTGTGGAGGGGGGGGGAAAGAGGCGAGGGACCATGCGTCCAGGGAGCAAGGCTTTGAGGGGTGCCTCCGGAGCATGGGACCCGCCACACACGAGAAGAAAGGACAAAGGCCAAAAGGCCGGGGGAGTGAGGCGGAACACCCGTGCCATGCGCGCGTGCCCCTCTGGGGAGAGAGGAAGAGCAATGCAGCAAGACACGAATGGAGCCGGACTCTACACAGCCCCGTCCCTCTGCTGCACCCTGGCAGGGGAGTGTAAACCCCGCCAGGTGCCATGAGGGACACGACCCCCCTGGCACTCGCACACGGCCCCGCGCGTCCTTCCCCATCACTCGACCACGGGGAGGAAGTGCTCGTGGGACCGCGAGCGCCCGCATGCCTCTCTCTCTCGCTCTTTGAAAGCTCCCCCACTCACACATGACAACCGGCGGAGGTGGAAATGCGCGGCCCCCTGCTACCAGAGCAGGGAGCACACACACACACATTCAGACCGGAATACAGAGGAGCAGAGAAAGAGAGAGAGAGAGGGGACCATGGGGCGCACGAGGGACACTACACGACCACCACCCGACCGGGGCACGGGCGCGCCCGGCCCCCACAGCCACCCCCCCGGGAAAACCACACCGACAGACATCCGCCCCAGGAAAGAAACCAACCCAACACAAGAAGCGTGCACAAGGGCAAAAGAGACAGCGAGGACAGGAGCAAGTGCGAGCATACACGACCATGTGCAAACACACACGCGCGTGCACCCAGCGCGCGCAAGGAGAAGACAGATCTCATCCGTGAGGGCATACACATACTCGACGAAGCACCAAGCGGACACGCGACACCATTTGCAGTGGGAGCACACACACACACCCAAGGAAGCCACAGCCACAGAGGGTGGGCTATGCTCCAGGGAGGTGGACTGCAAAGGGGAGATCAGCGCGCGAGGATACTTTCGACAAGATGCCTGCACACAAAGAGGAGACCGACCTTGCCGCGGGATGGACGCGCGAGGAGACACACGGACGAGCACACACGCACGCGCAACTGCCCCATCTGCTCACTTGCACTCATGCGCACAGCTGTGCGAGAGGATCTACCCGGAGGCGTCGGGCGGTCTGCCTGGGCCCTCTCGTTGGTGTATACGAGGGGATCCCCAGGAGGTCAGACACGCCGTCGGCGGTTTTTCCCAGGAAGGTGTCCAGTGGAAGAGGAAGGCATGTGCTTGACGCGCGGTGGAGCGGCGCGATGACCGAGAGGAGGCACGGCACATCGAGGCTCGGGGGGGGGAGAGAGGCAGAGTCACGAAGGGGCACAGCGGACAGGGGTCGGATGCAGCTTCAGGAAGAAGCATCCGCCGCCGGTGCCACCGGCCGCCGAGAGGGCGGAGATTTGGGGGAGGGAGCCGGGCAAAAGAGGGCGTACCGGTGAACCGGATGGAGAAACACGGAAAACAATCGAAGAGGTCCGTCGCTCGGGGAAGTTGGCACCGCAGGAGTCGGCCTTTTATACCGGCGCCCGGGCCCCCACCGGGCGGCCTCTGTGTCCTGGCGGCGCTCTGGCGAAATGGAGGAGTGCGGACCGAGGTGGGGACAACCGGGCGTGTACGTGCGGGCGAGGGGGTGGGGGGGGACACCTGCGCCTCCACACACGCGGGAACACGCCATGCCTCACACTGCGGTTTCCGCCTCCGCCGTCCGGGTGCGCCGCGCCAGAGCGCCACACACGCGAGAGCTCGCCGGTTGTGCCTCCCCCGCCGCCGGCCAGACCCCGGGGGCCGGCTCCAGCAGCCAGACAACGCCCAGGCCCTCATGTCTCCCCCTCCACACGGGCTGACTTGGAGAGCCCTTCGGCCGACTGCCGTGTGAGCCCGATGGGCCCCGCGCCCTGGATGCCGCCCACCAATCCGCGGTCCCAAGCCGGGGGAGCCAACAACAGTGGTTGCCCGGAAATGGTGTTCCAAATGATGTTCTTCCGGTGGCACACGCACGAAATTCGAGTTCTGTATTTGTGGATCCTTCAGCCTCGTGCGCGTTCCCCGAAGTCGAGCCAGTCACCGCCGACGCGGCTTAATCGGCCTGAGGACACGTAAGTGTCCCGTCTTTGCTCACACGCATTACTGCCTCATTTCGCCGACGGTTGGGGGGGGGGGGGGGGGGGGGGGGGACGAGCGGGGGTAGGTATCATCCCCAGCCGCTTGCAGAGTGCGAACTCAGCATGAACATCCTTCTCGCCCTGGAAGATCCCCACCGGAGCCGCCCCCGACGGCCGGCGCCTTCCGTGGCCGAGGCGCAGCCGGAAAAGCCGACGCCGGGGGCTGGGGCAATGGCCACACGACGGCCCTCGCCTCGCGCATTCCCGTGCCGCGGCCAACAATAAAGGAATAGCCGAGGGCCGAGGCCGCCGGGGCCGAGCAGGATGACTTCTCGCTCGCACCGGATCGGTCCCACGATGGCCTCGAGCGGACGCGCGTGGCCACCCATAGCCGATGCGCGCCGACCCATCCGCCGACTTTGTGCGCCAGCCACACCCCGACGGGCGAACAACGCGACACTTTCAGCCGGGGGCCAGCGGGGGGGGGGGGG